ATTTCGGGTTTACAGGTCGTAAAAAGGGAGTAACCCAGATTTTTTTTTGTTATTCCTAACCTTTTTTTTTACTTCATCAGTCTATAAACAAAAAGCCTTTCTCATGCTTCTTATTAAGCATTCTGATCCACAACCTGTGTTTATTCTGTTACATAATTTTTGTTCTTTTATTTTAAGCAGCTTCCTTATTCTCTTTCTTCATGTTCCTATCCCACCTTAACCCATCTTATTTGTTCTGATAAGCAATAATCTATTATGTTTTTAATACGGGATTCATACTTAGTTATTTTCATACTAATTACTGTTAACTCTACCCCCCCCCCCGAGCTATTCTCGAACCTACCAAAAGTGGTCTATCCCAAGTTCACATTTGTACATATATGGACTATCTAATCCAAGTATTTGAAACAGAATTTTTTTATATAAAAGTTATTAAAAATTTAAAAGAACGAACACAAAATGATATTGAATAAAGAAAATGAAAGAGAAACAGTAAAAAAGAAAAGTACAGAAAGAAAGGATAAAAATAAATAGGAAGAAGTTTTTGACTGCCTTTGCAGCAAATATGTAGGATTACAAAATTATCTTCTTACTCTATAACAAAATTCACAACAAAACTCATCATCAAAATCATAAGCCTTAAGTGCATTTTTCTGTTTCATGCTAAAAAGTCTATAAGGAGTTTCCAATCAGCTATAAATGTAGATATTTTTCTAATTAAGAAAGTCAAGTTAATCATCTTTGCAGATTCCATCATCTTTCTTTATTATGGTGTCAAACTTTTCAATTTTTTGAGAATACAGTAATCTTGCTGCAGTTGTCATATATATAAAAACAAAGTCCCCTGTCTGTCTGTCTACATTAGTCTTTAACATTTTCTCAATTAATGTATTTATTTGTCTCCAACATTTTTTTGGATTTTCACGTGTCTATCATACATGATAAAGTGTTCCTTCATCTTGTTCACATTTCCAACAAAGATTCAAAGTACTTTTTAGACAATTTCTCTGGTGACAAATACCAACAATACATCATTTTATATAGCTTCTCTTTAATGCTAGAACACAATATAAATTTCAATCCTTTCAAATATATCTTTTTCCATTGATCTAATATTAAGCTCTCTTAAAATACATACGTTCTTTCACTTGTTCTTTTTCTGTTTCATATTTGAACAAATTTATATATTTTAGCAATAACACATTCATTCTTTGTACATAGTTCTATTGCAAAATTAGTCTTGCATTGTTGAAATGCCTAAAACCTTTTATCCACTTTAAACCTTTCTGAAAATTGTACATAAGAAAATCATTTTATAATTCACATGAAAAAATATAGCACATCATAGTACTATGTAATACCATTTATGTTTACTTATGATTTATTGTCTATAAAATGCTTTTTGTGCTGAAATCCACAAAGGTATTTTGGGGCACAACCTAGCTTTATATTTATTCCATGTTTTAAGAATGGCCTGCCTGACATAATTAATTTTGACAACTACACTAATCTTATAATATCACAGATATCCATGTCATCCAAATCTCAGATCGTATCCTAACTGCCACAATCCTCTATTTCTTTAAAACTGAATATTTTTCAAAGCAGATATTCATCAAATAAACATTATTCCAATTCACTTTTTGCTCTACAAATGGCTCAATTGCCTTTTCTATATAATTTAATATCATTCTCACCTACCCCTTTCATTGTTTAAAAGAATAATATTTTCTACTGGATTTACTTCATTCAGTACATTGTAGAATGTTTCCAAAAACTCATCTTTGTTTCTTCCACTATCATCATTCTAAAATGTAAAATGTAACATACAACTATCATCACCTGTAATCTTCTACCACCATAAGCACCTACAATAAAGAAGACACCAATTCTCATAATTTTATCCCCTACATTTCAGCTGTTTCATTTATAATCAAACCTACTTCTACATTTTCTTGCAGCTATATGCCAACCCTACCCCATAGAATCAGACCACTTTCAGTCAGATCAATAGTATCCTTTCCCCTTTTGTTAGGTTGGCAGATACTTAGCCTTGCTCATTTTTTTTCATTTTATTTTTTAAACCTTTTACACTCAATTTGCATTCTTCCCAATTCCATGGGCATTACTAGACTGACCAAAGATATTGTCTTCTATTATTCATGACTTTTAGTAAGATAAAGAAGATATAAAATATGTTGCCAACCCTAGTTATACACGTATTCCCAGATAATTATAGCTTTTTGGCACATTGTAGCTAGTATTCATTTATTCTTGAGATTTATAAGGCTACCCAACTCAAAAAAAAATTTTTTCTGGGTGGAACACAGAATAAAACTATGCCAAAAATACAACCACAGCTCAGATTTACTCCACACATATTTATACTAATTTATGTCAGCTAGGATTTCTACTTGCTACTTTGCAAGTATATTTTGCACATGTCCCACCACCTAAAAGGTATATGCATCAGACTGACACCTACCTACACAAGGAGACATCTATTGCTTTTATGATTTCTATATCTTAAGTTCACTAAGACATTTATTATAACATCGATATATTCTACACATACTTTTTTAAACTCAGCCTTTAACACAATCTGGTAGTTAGATTTGAGTAGTTCTTAAAAATGATTAGCAACTCTAGCTAATTTTGGAATTTTTTATTAATTATTTTTTACTTTTAGATTATTTATAAAGAAGAAATTTAGAAAAGAACATAAAATAAAAAGAATACAGAATCGTATATTCAAAATGCACTGAAAAAAGTAAATGAGTTTTTTGAAGAGAAAAATGATTATAGAATTTTCCCAATAATCCAATAAATGGATGATATGTATATGCAACACAAGTGAAAATAATTTTACCATCCTTGACTGAGAAATTCAAAAACTTAGTGCAATGTTCCCACTATGTACACTTCCAAAATGAATTGAATTAATAAAAATAATGGTAAATTTAAATACATTTTTATCAACTAGGACACATACCTCTCTGTGTTAGCTATGAATGTTTTAAAATAAAATTTTGCATAAGCCTAACCTATTTTTCATATTCTGGGTAAAATGATCAGGAATTTCACAAGAAATATTTCAATTTAAGAAAAAGTGGGACCTTGGAGCCGTATGCAATAAAATGCAATAGTTTTATGAGTTGGGAATAGGGTTAAAAATGTATAAATGGGACCACTTCTGATTCTCTATGGGAACTCAAGATAGAGGCAAATCTTTATCAGCAAAACACTGAGCAAAGCAAACACTTAGATAGGAGGTCTCACTATCTATTCATTTCCCTAAAATGAAATTTACTACTCTAAACAAGGCATCCGATTGGCACAATAGGACAAAAAAAAATAGTAACACTTTGTCTCCATTATCACCATAATGTAGAGTCAAAATGAACTCAAATTCATGCTTGATAAAATTAACTTTTGGTCTTCAAACAACACTCCACATATTGTTTCTGATGCTTCATCTTCCAAAGCTCTTCAATAAAGTAAGATTAAAATTAAGAATAGAAAAGGATCTGGGAGCAGTTTATCAAGAGCCCAGATTAACTCCTGTACCCAAAACTAATTAGGTTACCAACTGAAGTACCTCTCAGACAACTGGAAAATTTATCCTCTAGAAACTGGATCCATCCATTTCCATTTAGTAAGTGGACAAGACGAACCCTGTGTAGCTCCCACATAGCATCTCATCCTAGGTTGATTAGGAAGTAATGTGACCATAGCACCAAGTTAAATGGTTCTGTATATTTAAATCATCACATAACTGCATTGAGGTCAAATATATGACTATCAATTACTTGAGATAAGCCTATGGTTTTAAATACTGAGACATTTTTTTTATTCAAGGCAAGAAAACTGAAATCATCCAACACCAAAAACAAGACGATGACAAACTAACCTGTATTCAGATAAAAATCAAGGAGCCAACTACGTAGCAGGATGGTCGATGTGCCTGCTTCTGCCTACAGCCCAAATCAATGTGTATGTGCTTATCCTTCAGCCATTCCGACTCTACTTTCACATTCAAATATGTTGTCCTGTTAAATGAGCGTCAACCCTATTCTTAACATGTAGTTACTATAGTACCTAAAACCTGGCTGGGCACATCTCAAAAATGCTTGGATTGTCCAGCAGATCTCATTGATACACACTAGGTATGTCTGTTGTGAATGTTTGAATTAAGCTGTAAATGATCAGTCTCTCTCTCTCTCTCCTCCCCTTCTTTCTCTCTCACAACACACAATCTATATGTATATCTATATTTTCACTATCCTGAGTAACAGTTTTTATCCATAAAAGCTAATACAATTCCATTCATTTGGCTTTGTTTTATCTCTTAGTGAAACAAAAAATAATTTGGTTCCCAAATTAATGCTTTCATCGCTTAACATAATTTGACATACAAGTAGTCCTCGACTTACTCATCTTTTAATGATGACCTGAGGTGACAACAGCCTTGGAAAGGGTGTTTTATGGCCTTCCAGAAATCTCACAGTCACATGATTGCAATTCAGGTGCTTGGCAACTGACATTTATGACTGGTTGCAGTGTCCTGTGGTCACGATTTGTGATTACAAATTGCTAGTTTGAACTTGCCTAGCAGTATTAAGCTACTATTTGCTGTAGCATATATATTTTTAATAAAGAATCAAAATAATACATTTTAACTTAGACTCTACTAGACAAAGTAGCAAAGCAAGCAACCAATTTCTTCTCTCATACAACTTCATCTGCAGCCCATTTAAATTAAGATATCATTGCACATTTAACATTTTATCGTAGATTTTAAGTTTGCACTGCTGATATAAATAGCATAAACTTATTTTCTACAGATAAAATCCATAGTAACACCCTATTCTATCCCAAACGTTTAAACACTGTGCATTTTATTCATGGAAGAAATGGTATTCTTTCATGGCAGTGCCAAAAAATGCTACTTTCTCTTTTCTAAGTTCTGAAAGCCCTATAATCAATTTTTTTCTGAATACCTGAAAAAAACCCGGTGGAACAGGACCTACTGGCATGCCATCTCCTGGGGGAATGTTTCCTAGCACTGGACTGGGAGCTGCTGCAGCGCTCTGAAAAGAACAAAGGAAAAATAAACCTTTGTCATTGCACACAATAGGCATAAAACCAAAATACTACTTTGACCATAGTGTGGCAAGGCAAAAAGGAACACTCTCTGCATGACAGATTTAATTTTTTCTTCCATTTAAAATAATTAGTGCTCATTTTCAAAGTGCAGAAGGGAAACACTTAAATACAAACGTAGATTTCTTTAATAAATGACTGCCTTACACTCACAATTGAAAGGGAAACTTAGGGATCAGGAACTTCATTTAATTTAAACAAAGACTTGTAAATTGTGCATTTACAAAAGATTCTATTACAACTCAGTCCAAAAGGCAACTTCTGATCAGAAAAGTAGCATGTCAGCTAATTAGTTGATATTCAAAACAAAACATTATGGAAGAATTCATTTCTAAATACACTAACACAATTCTATAACTGAATACATAGTATCAGTACAATTTTATAATCTATTAAGAAACAGTCTCCTTAAAATGATAATAAACTTTATGTATGTGGAATGATGCTTTAAGTGATCAGATTAAATATGATAAATAATGCAAACATTTGCAGTATGAAATTGGGAGCCATATTTATTTAGCTTTCTTATTTCACCCTGGTGCTAATGACAACCTGGGAGACAGGAATTAAATCAAGAAAAGAGTGCATATCTGATGAAGAATGACTATATTTATCCTACAATAGGAAGATCCAATCTTAGTCTCCCACATAACAGCTTTCAGTCTTAAAACTGGGGTTCCCAAATTTGTTTGCATTGTGAATCCAAAAGTTGGGATGATAGTGAGGATGGTAATTCAAGATCAGATGGAGGAATAAAAATCTTTTCTAATCCCCTTCCTCTTTGCATTACAATTTAGAATCTCAAATTGTCATCCCAAGCAGCTGGTTGGGGATGATGGAAACTGAATTTTTCCCTTTTACTGCTGAAGTCTGGCTTTTGGGGACGCTGGCTGATCTCGGATGGTTTTACATTTTAGATGGTTACCCCTGTGGGAAGCCTACATTGAATGCTCTTCTCATCTGTACACAATTACCCTTGATGAACAAGTACCTGGGATTTCTATATTTCTGGGAGAACTACCTTCATGCTAAGTACTGCTTTGGAAATTTGGGCTCCCTTAACAAAAGCTTTGCCGGCAGGATAATAAAAGTGAAAAGGGAAAGAAGAAAGGAAGGAGGAAAAGTAAGTAACAGCAATAATGTGAAGCACTTGAGGAAATTATCTACTTGTTTTCTATGGTGCCCACAATTTGGATTCTCTAGTCAGTCCTTTAGTAAGTAGATTCAAAACATGATGACCTGGCAGCTGTGATAACCCTCTTGGGATCGATTGGATCTTAGGATGGTCCTTCTAATATTGGAGACAATTAGAAAGCCTTTAATTTGGGGGTGGCTGAAAAAGAGGCTGGGTGCCCTTTGCTATGGAAAGAAGTTGACTGTTACAGCTCTCAAGGTCTTTGAAGAGCCTTGTAACCTGTGTGGCTGTTAAAGAAACACCTTGTATTGGAGGAAGATATTGAGTTGCTAAATCAGGAGTGAAGAATGAGGCTTCTTCCAATTTGCTAAGTATAAAGCTATACACTGATGTGATATCTTTTGATCAGAATATATTTGCTGCTCCTGCCAGTTATACGCCAATGATGGCAGAAGAAGCCAAGTGAATATGTGCTGTTTGCAGGGATGGGATTCAAATTTCATAACAATTGGTTCTATGGGTGTGGCCTAATTTGTGGGTGTGGCTTGGTGGTCATGTGACTGGCTGGGCATGGCTTGCCGACTGGGCATGGCTTGGTGGTCATGTGATGGCTGGGCATGGCTTGTATATAAATATTATAAATATTCATGTAAATATTGATTTAAGATCAATAAAGATCAACTTTTACCCAAAATCAGGCAAAGCAGGCAGGCAGATTGAGTTGCTCACAGAATCACAGATTCATTCAGAGATCTATCTTTCTGCGATCGGCTATCTGAGTCTGTCACATAAAATCTGCTTGCAAACAAACTCACAAAATTACAACACACTATGTATGTAAATATTGATTTTTTTAAAAATAAAAAATAGAAATTTTTACCCAAAATCAGGCAGAGCAGGCAGGCAGATTGAGTCGCTTAGAGATCTGTGTTTCTGCCATCTGCTACCTGAGTCTGCACTAAATAATAGAAGCTTCAGGCTCAGCTCTGCTTTTAGATTAGCTAGAAAGCAAGAAATCTGACAATTTCTAGCTAATCTAAATCTCCGGGCACAGCAGAACACCTGATGGTTGGGGAAAAAAAGGGAAAATAGCAACTTAGCAGGCAAATTTGATGGTGCGCATGCCAGGTAAGGAGTGAGTGGGCTGGGCGGGGCCAGCCATGGCACAATTTGCCGGTTCTTCGGCAGGTAGAATCCCACCCCTGGTTAGAGTGCATTTTGCGCACATCTGTAGACCATTTCCTAAAAACCACAGCTTTGCAGCCCAGACAGCTGACAAGCGTTGCGTGGATGCACAGCACTTGAAAATCCTCTTCTCATTTTTCAACCTCAGCTGTGTCCTGCAAATCACCTGAGGTTGAAAAAGCAGGAAATAAAGGACAGCCAAGAACCCAGGTGGACGGCTGGGCCAAACACAGCAGCAGACACCGAACCGGTTCGGTGTCTGCTGCTCTTCAGAGCTACCAGTTCTATAGAACTGGGCCGAACCAGTAGCATCCCACCCTGGCTGTTTCTACCAGCAGTTACTCAATGTAGTGTGTTTAATATTCTCTGTTCTCAATTCTGAGGGGGGGGAAATCAGCTTCATCTGGGCTTGTACCTCTCCTTCCTGTCAACTATGTGCTATGTGCAGCATGACATCTCCAGAAGTTAGACCTCTTTCTATCCGCCATCTATCCACCATCTCCAGAAGTTAGACCTCTTATGCTTAAGTTTCTTTCTGGCATTTTAAAAATATTCTGGCCCCCATAAATTTACGATCTCTCTCAAATTAGCTTGTAGCCTCCAAGGGAGTCATGGTCTATAGTTTAAAAATCCTCATCCTAAGGCATTCTCTTTTATAGAAAGTTAACATATGTTATAATACAACTAAATTTAGATTATCCTGAAATAATGCAAAACAGCAGCTGCAGGAGGAAATAAATTAACATGCTGATCGTTGATTAGGTAACAGGGTAAGATGAAGCCTTTATCATAATTTTCTTCCAAAGTATGGAACTTTGAATGTGCATTAAAATTGAAAGTATGCAGAACACTACTTTTATTTTTGTTTCCTATACAATGTGGATTCTTCCTTTTGGCAAATGTATAGCTATTTATATTAAAAGTTACAACAACCTTTGAAATAAAATAGCTCAAAAACAAATTGATATTATGGGTTTGTATACAGAAAATGTTTAATTTTTGAAAGAAAATATATTATATTTTTTAAGTGAACCACTTAAAATACACTAATTTTTGACACCTTTCAAACTAAGTAGATAGGAAATATAGTTTCCCTGTTCCAATAAATAAATTGTTAATTTTTCAGATATTCATATTACCATTACATCTAGATTTATACAAGCCTTTCTAACAGCACTATATTTTGGTGCTATATTTGGTCTGAAAAAATTTCTAACATACTCTTGTGATCTCATTTACTTATTATAAATAAATTATAATTTCCAATGGAATAGAATTGGCCACTGGGTGTCACTTTTGCACTCAATATATAAAATTCATTTTGAATTAATGAATTTTTAGCATAATACCCAGCTTAAGGAACTATACCACATATATTTGAGCATGTAAAACTAAATTTCACTATGATGACACAAGGTGATGCTATTTTTCCATAGACTACACAAAAATAGGGGTGAAAACACTAAGTTTAGATTGCAAACATTTCTGTTTTTCCTGATGAATCCAGTTTAGTCACATATTTAATTGCTACATTAAAAATTAGAACTAGAGCTAAAGTGATATGAATCTGCATGTATGTCTGTACGGACAAGCACATAATGACAGGTGACAAACTAACTTTGTATCCATTTTAATAGTATCTATGTGATTGTGTAAAATAAATATAATTATACACAAAATGGGAAGGTGTAGAAGTAGAAGTAGAAGCTTATTTCAATGTGCCTCAAATAAATTACAAAATGTTAGTGTAATTTCCAAAATAAACTTTTCTTTAAAGATCCAAATCAGTTATTAAAATAATATTTAAAGTCATTATGTAGACCTCCATGTACTGCACTAAACATAATTTAGTTTTAAAATAATTTCTCAGCACCCTCTTTTACTGCAATTCTTACTTCTATTGCTAATTTAGCATGTCTTCCTGTAAGTTTATGAAGCTGAAGCATCATCATAGTTTACTGATAATTGCATACATCATCCATTAATTATGATGCAAAAGTAAACTTTTCTGTTTATCTGTAATCTAGAGGTTTAAACTTAATCCTGCAGTGTTATAATTCTAGAAAAGTTGCATACTATACGTACAGTTAGTTATATATTACACCTTCCAAAACTGATTGACGTATATTTAGTAGTTTCCTACTTCTCAACTTACAATATTTCAACGTTCCTTAATTTTATAATCCGAGAAACACTACTCAGCAAGTTGCATTATTGATAAAAATTGTTTTTTGTAGTCTGTTTCCTATGTCAGCTAATGTGACATATTAAAAATATAGACTTCATTATAGTACATGAGACAGCAAGAAAGCAATGGATCATATAGCTGTTTGAGCAGAGTGATCTATAGCCATATAGAATATGTAACCTTCAAGAACATAATTAATTTTATCCACACAACCGCTATTCTTTTTAAATAATATAAAAGATAAATCAAGCAATGGCACTGTTTAGTCTTGGCTGTTCCTTCTGATATAAAGAAACATATTGTTCTGAAAAATCACTGTCACTCCTTGGCAAGGGTCACAAAAGACGACTTTGGCAACATCTCATAATCATTTCTTTATAATGAGAAAAGAACTTTCCATATTAGAATGGAGAGATCTA